TTAATAATCAACGTGGACGGATCCCACCCGAACAACCCATGTTATACTCATTCAAAGCTGACCGTTTGGGTGTAAAACCCAATACCCGGTCGGGTACCCACATATACCCGGTCGAGTATAGAAGGCAGTAACTCTTTGGGGCTATTTTCAGTTAATACCTGGTCGGGTATTTGCCAATACCCGGTCGGGTATAACAATTGACTTGGCGGTCAACGCCCGTTTGACCGCCCAAACGAAGTCTGATTACCGTGAAATTTTACATGCATGTACTTCTTGACGTCCTTAATCCAAAAATACATATTTGGGTCCTTGGAATATCATACATATCAATTTATAATATTTTCACTAATCAAACTTACATATCATGCTTTTCAACTATGTTATATTCCTTAATATGACATAACACATGCTTTAATACCATTAATCAATTCATAAAACATATTCTTGATTAATTTAGGTAATCTCATGTCTCACGCAAAAGTTATAAAGCATATAGCCGTCTTCTCACCTTAATGAAGCTTATGGAGTTCTAGCCTTTCTTATTGAGTTTCAACGAAACTCTGGCGAACTTCAACGAACTCCGGCGACAACTCCGGCGACCCTTTCAACTCCGTGAAAGTTCTTGAAATTCCTTATACAAGTTAATGACAAGTTTTTATCATCATAAAACCCATATCAACACAAATAACCTCTAAAGGTTATTTTCCGACGAACCCGTCAACTTTGTTCTCTAAGTCCGTCCTTGGACTTAGAACTTCCTTTCAAACCCCATTCCATACCTTTAAACGTGTAGAACTATCCTAGGAGTATGAAATATGATTAAAGAGAAGAAATGGGATTAGTGAAGTCATTACCTTGTTAACCACAAGTTTTCCCACCTAAATCCTCTTTTCTCTTCTCTTCTTCCTCCCCTTGCTTTGTGCGTGAATGGTGGATGAAAATGGAGTATCTTCAGACCTTATCTCTCTTCTTTGGGTGGGTTGGACGAGCATAAGGGTTTGGGGTTGATTGAGAATTATATTCCTTTTTGGCATTTCTCACCATAATAATATGGGAGGGGTCCCATTTCCTTTTATTTGTTTTGATTCCAATCAACTCATGTTTCCCTTCTCATTTCCTTGTGCGGCTCCCCTCTCCATTTGCAAGACTAAAACGTGGGGTGGCCCCACATATGTGGGAGATCATCCTTTTGTGTCCCCAAGTGTACACTTGGTCCCGAAAGTTGTATTTTCCGGACTGTTTTAATTAAATTTCGTTTTATCGGGTCAAATAAAATATGTATCATTCTTCCAATTAGTATTGGCTTATAGAATGAATATATATATTCCCCAACTTTTAATTTAGCGATCTCCATAATTTATTATGGCTTTTATCTATCAGTATGCCGGTACCGATAAATGGCCTTATATGCACAACTGGCCAACTCACATGGTTCCTATGGCCCAAAATGGATATCCACCATCATATAAATATTATCTAGACCCGGATGAATATAATATGTGGTCCCGATAATATCGGGTGGCCCCCACTTTCGGTGTGGGCCCCACGTGAATTTTACTATTCACGAAAAGAAATGATAAAAATTTACAATCATGCAAAAATGCATTTATTCATTTTTCAGGGTTCAATACGTAACTTGATAAAGTACAATTACTTGGGGGCGGTGTTACATATACGATTACCTTCACGCAAGGTAATCAAACAATGGGTGAGATACGATACATTTCCTAACTACTGCTTTCACTGCAAAGAATATGGACACCACCCATTTATTTGTAAAAAGCTGGCTGAAAAAAAGGAAGTAAAAGAATGATAAGGAAAAGAATGATATTGGTGTTGTTAAGGAAGATGAATCGAAAACGTTACAAGGTGAGGAAGTGGGTGTGAAGGAAATGGAGGTTCATGTGGAGAGCATTGTTACTGTGTCGGAGCGTGCTGTCCACCTAGAAGGGACAACAATCCTTGGACATGCTACAGAGACAAACTTTCTAAACCCCTGCCTCTCAACAACCCTAAAAGAAAGCTCATCAATTATTAACATTTCTGCAATATCTCTCCTGATTAGAGTTTGGTCAAAGACCTAGATCCCTATAACCCCAATAGTTTCTGGAGAGGTGATTTGAGTATTAACAACTGGTTGGAAGGTTAATAGGGCTTGTCTTGTCTCTTTAGAGTGGGCATTTTTCAGGCAACTAAGCATGTGGTTTCTCAGAGAAAAAGTTCCATGCCTTTTGGGACTCACAACAGTACACCTTAGCACAATTATATACATCTCCCCTTCACAAGGACTCCCTTGCTATCATACATTTTGTGAAAGTGTTCCCATATCTTGGATCTAGGTTCAATCTGTTTCCTCTTTTGTCCAACACCAACAGTTGAAGCAATCTGCTGAGTGATAGTGTTCTGCTCTATATTCTGAGCTTCCACTGCAGGTTGTTGGGCTGGAGGAGGTTGAGCACCAGATACAGTCATACAGATATGTCTTGGGATTCCATCTATAAACCATTACATGAAACTTAGGGACTTTTGCTTAGCTTCTACTATCAGAATTCAGAAAGAACAAGCAATCATTCTTTCATCATCAATCATTCATTCTTCTTTGGGGCCACAATCACTCTTTTATGTACATAGTTATCACCATTTCAAATCATTTTCAGTCAATGCATGCATACAAATCAAGTCTGGAACAATCACCAAGGTGATTTACAGAATAGTATAAGCAGTAGGCTTAACTATTCTCTACAGACTTTAGAATAACCAATTAACTCTAACTACTCAGATTGAGTGTTTGAGTCAATCAGGTAACTTTTACGACAACAATAACCAACATGTAATAGGCAACATCCATACACACAACCTTACACAGCTTCCACTATGACAATTCAGAAAGAAGCGATCATTCTTTCATCATCATTCATTCATTCTTCTTTGGGGCCACAATTACTCTTTTGTGTACAGAGTTTTCAACAATTCAAATCATTCTCAGTCAAGGCAACCATAGAAATCAAGTCTGGAACAATCACCAAGGTGATTTACAAAACAGTAGAAGCAATAGGCTTCACCATTCTCTACAGACTTAGAAGAACCAGTTAACTCTAACTACCCAGCTTGAGTGTTTGAGTCAATCAGGTAACTTCTACAACAACAATAACCAACATGTCATAGGCAACATCTATACACACAAGTACACAACCTTACACGGTTACACAGCTTCCACTATCAAGCAAAGACATAACCATAATTCATACATAATTACAGTTTCGAACAGACATGCCCACAATACAGTTTCCACATCATTTTTTACTTCCACATTTCGACATTCAAGGCTGCTCCGAGTCACACAATAAACAACAACTCACAAATCACAACCACAATTTACACACTCTTCATCAAGCAGAGAATAGAAGTTATACCTCACGCTCGAGTGTGAATGATATGAGAGAGTGGGAGACTGAGAGTGAGCTTAGCTTTACCAGAAGGTCCAACCGGAAAAGGGGCAATGCTTCCACAGTTCAACGTTCGACGACTTTAGGGTTTCAACTTCAAACCAAGAAGCGTGTGAGAGTAAGTGACGAACAGACTTAGACCCTCATACAATCACCGTCTCACAACCGGAGTCCGGAGAGATGAAGTGGTCAAGAGAGGCAGAGAGATGTGGAACAGAGGGTGAGAGTAAGGTCACCGAAGAGAGTAGTCAGAGACTCACAGTAGAGAGATAGTCAGATAGAGAAGGAGGCGGATGTGAGTTAGGGTTTATTAGGGGAGTATATAATACTCCCTCCGTTCGAAATTAGTTGCAACATACAGGTCGGGCACACACTTTAAGGAATAAAGCGAAAGAAAACATTTTCCGCTTCTACCCTTATACGACACCAAGTACCACACCTCTGTTTTTCTCTTTTCCATCTGCGGCGAAGGCTACAACAACCATACGGAAACACAGATTCATAATTTTTTCAATTTTCGAACAAATGATTTTTCCCATTTTAACTTCCATTATTTATCCTCATTGATAATCACCTTCCAATGCTCCAGCTAGCCTCTATTGTTGGAATTACGTGAAGAGCAATTTCAGATTTCAGATTTACTTATACCTTCCAGTCGAATCCTGAAAGACAGTCACAGGAGGAAGCCGATTTATACACCTCTTCGCTCTAGGAATCTTCTTTCTAAATTTTCAAACTGGCCGAACTTCGGCCGGCGAAGCAACAAGGTGAAGAGAAAAAAAGTAGACGTCATGTTCCAGTGAGAGAAAAGCATAAGTAGAATCGATTGTGAGAAACTGGTAACAAATCCTTGGTATATGTGATAGAAATGAACAAAAAAAAAGATGAAGAAAAGGAATTGAAGACGTGTAAGAGAGATAAATGGTTTGCGTGTGTGGACACGAAGTAATTCAAAAGAGTGGCACCGTATTAAATGAAAGAAGGATTGAAAGGGTATTCATGTCCATAAATGACTCATTTATCACCTTAAAGGGAAATGTTGCAACTAATATCAAACTGCCAAAAAAGGCAAGTGTTGCAACTAAAAAAGAACGGAGGGTAGTATATATATGGGCTAGCTACTGGGCTGGGGGTTTGGGTTTTTTCGGACGGGTCGGTTGGGTCAAATCCAAAACCTACTCGGCCCATTATATTTAGGCTTAAGCCATGCGGGTTTTCGGGTTTGCTGTTTGGGTCGGTTGACCCTACCCGGTCGGGTAATATCCGGAATATCCGGTCGGATATTCGGGTTGGGTCAGGTTTTGCCCAACCCTATTTGATTCTGATTTTTAAAACTGTTTATGCTCTTTCGGATAGTAGAAGCAGATATTGAAGTTCTAGGATGAAAATGCACAATAACTTGGAGATAAAATTGCTTCCAAAACAATTTTCTAGAATATGTGAGATAGCGAAAAACTGATTATAATTTTGTTCATTTAAAAAAGAAAAAAAAAAGAGAATCACTTTCAAACACTAACTTTGAATCAAATCATTTTGACTTTCCGGTGCCAAATCCAAAGAAGAGTTAATTATTGATCAAAGGTATTGATCAAAGGAACACGATCCGTATACAATCCAGTGAATCCATATAGAAACACCGCTGTAATTCTCGTTCCCGGAATCATCATTGAGCTCCTCTATACTGGTTGGCCATCAGACAAGGCAGTATAAGTTAGTTTAACCATCAGCGATTACCCCACTTAAAGAATATAGAAATAATTTATCATTTCAATCATTGTCCACGGTCCACCATCTATCCATGAAAGGGCGAGAAAAGAGAGAATATAGTAAATCAGCTCATAGATAGGGATTTCAGTTGGTGATGGTGTTGGGGGGATTGGCAGTGACAGAGAATGAAAGCGGTAGAGAGATTATTTTCGAGCAACGATACCATCGGTCGCCCGTTGTGACGGTGGCGACACTATTATTTTCCTCATTGATGTTCGATTTCTTCTCCGATGGTCGACAGGTCATCTTTGCGGAGGCCAGTGGAAGCGGGGGAAGTCCCGGTGGAGGAGGTGGTCTTGGCGGTGCTGGATTACATTGGGTGTCGGTCGGTGCAACCTCACCTTCCAATGTTGGAATAGCTGTCGCTGTTACGGCCATGGCCGGTATTGCCTTGGCCGCTACTCTCGTCTACTCTCGTAGGTAAAACACAAGAGTTTAGTTTGTAAATTATGGACCATCATCACTTTAAACCCAGATGAATCACAAGAAAACAGATAATTATCAATCGATTTATTCAATAGATCCAACTGAATAATTGTTTCTATGGTCAAACAAAGGTGAATGATAGATATACAGATGGAGATATATATACATTAGATAGCAAAACAGAGAAAAGGACTTTGCTGTGGCCTGTGCACATTTTTTTAGTAACATTATTACTGTGCCTTTCTTCCACTTTGGTATTCATAGCACAAGTTAGACGAAGAACGGGAGAAAGATATTGTGTAAGAATTTGTGCATCTGAGACTTCTTTTTGCAGGGGAAACCTTAAATCGCCCTGGTCCCAGAGACGAAGAAAACATGCCCTTTCAGCAAAAGAATGGAAGAATTTATTTGATGCAGATGGAAGATTGAGTGATGGTGGAGTGAAGTTCTTGAAGAAAGTCAGAAGTGGAGTATGTGTCAATTTCATACTACGTATCTATTAGTGTGCTTGTGTTTGCCAGTACTTCTTATGTCCACATAATTATATCTCCAAGTCTCCAACATGTGACAGGGCGTTGATCCAACTATACGGGCAGAGGTTTGGCCTTTCCTTCTTGGAGTGTATGTGTCCTTCTTAAGTTCTTATTTCTATTTCATGAATCATAGTACCTTTCCTCCTTGGAGTGTATGAACCCTTCTTGGGTTGACTGCTACATCAAAACTTTTTGCTCAAACCACTGTTCTAAAAATCCCTCCTAGTCCTAGGCCCCAACTAGGTGATATGCCTCCCTAGCTTGCTTTCGATTTTTCTAATTTTGGCATGCATAACCGGCTAGGTCGAAATTAATCAATGCCCAAACTAAATTAGATACTAGGCTCTGGTCTACCATCTTCTAGAACACGAGTCGGAATCTTGCTAGCAGAAAGTAGGTTAAATATTAGATAATTAGAAGCATGCACAAGCACCACATTTTCTATATCCTTGTATTACTTTTTCTAATCTATCTCAGATACTATTGGCACTTCTGTGGGTAGGGTTGGGTGTCTACTTTAACTCTCCATGACTAAAGCAGCATATTTACTCTATACTTATGTGCCTCATAGTATCATCTCGGGTTAGTTTGAGACTGTTTTTAAGATGGTATTATAATTTTGTGTGTGATGTCATTTCATCCCTGGATTTTTTTACTTGTAGCTTACGATAGGACGAATGTAGATTGTAGCAGCAAAATGTGATTTTTTGTCATAAGTCATAACATCTCTTTTATCAATAATTGTGAACAAGCACATCATAGAAGCTTTTGTAGTTATTTATCACATGGAGCATAAAGAGTAGCCGTATTAGACTAGTAGTTAATTGCCGATTCTACTCATTGTTCATTTTTCATTTCTCACGAACTATTTGTCAGTTGGACATATTTAACAAATGTGTAAGGAACCTAACCAGAAAAATCTACTTATTGAGTTATTGTGGCAGTCAGTGTGAGACTGTGAGTATTTGACTAACTAATCGCTGATCATTTCTTCTTATTTTCTTATAATTTATACCATAGAAAATGTCCATGCATGAAAGGTACTAATTTGTGATAGACTATTGTTGATTTTATTTGGGCTTAATAACTTAATTGGTGTGCTTTCATATATTAAATGGTTGAAATACACTGTATGCTCTACTGATAGATACACAGCAATTCGACAGTAAAGGAAAGTAGATTGATAGATACACAGCAATTCGACAGTAAAGGAAAGTAGAATTAAGATGGAATAGATGCTGAAAAGAGAACAGTACAATGAAGACACTTCGAGTGGTCTCCCGCACTCCCAAAGCCAAAGTCCCCAATCTAATTTCTGCCTAACCACCATCTTCTCCCCTTTCCCTTCTTATAATAAGGCTATTCTCAAGGGCTGGCCCAAAATCATAACCTAAATGGCCCAACACCCTTATTTGTACACTATTACATTATTTATTATAATTCTATTATTCTTATTATTATAGGCTGTCCATGTCCCTATCATATCTCCCCGCTTGAATAACCACCTTGTCCTCAAGGTGGGTGATATGGAACAGCCTTGTTGACCTTCACCATCTTCTTCATCCGGGCGCCTCTTCCTTCCCAGTATCTCGCAGTTTGTTGAGTCAGAAGCTTCAGCACTTGTACCTTCAAAATCACACATGTTGCTGCTGCAGAAGATATGTCGAGTGCAGTTTCATTTGTTGCAGTAGAATTCAAGCACTCCATGACTCCAATCAATTCCTCATTTTTAAAAAACTCCTCAAGGACTCTCACTTCTGAAGCTATCACTGAGCTGGATGCAGATTTGAGGTTGCTCAAGTTAGTCAATTCACTGTCTATAACAAGCCCTATGCAAAATAAGTTGTGCACTACAGTGCTGCCATGCGATGTCAGATTCTCCAACCGCCAAGGTCCCCAGTCTGGGACATTCTTTTCTTTCTCTTCCCTTATAAGAGAGCCAAAAGCTCTTGCAGCAACAGAACGAGCTTCAGGGACTGGATCCTGATGAGCTTCAGGCAGAATAAACATGAACATATTGTTTTCCTGATTCTTAAAAGTGATAGCCACCCCAAACTCTATTTTATGAACATTTTCTTCAACCTTTTCTTCATCACTGCTACCAAGAGCAAAATTATCAGCAGCAACTTGCTTAACCAGATCTTCATCATAACTCAGCGGTTTCCCACATAAGGCAGACACACTCTGAGGAGTTACAGCTCTAAAAGGATCAAGGAACAAACCAGTTTTAACAGCAAGAGGCATGATTGAAGACAATGATCCTGCTGAAATAGATCCACCAATTTCTTGCAGTTTCTTCATGTCAATAAGATGTGTAGCTAACTTGCTCGGTGCGCTAAGAGCATAGTAGATCGTCAAGGGAACCTCGCTGTTTTCAGCTTCTGCTGATTCCGAGGAGCAATCATTTCTGGTATGAGCAATTAGTTTCTGTTCACCAGTCTCTTTGCCAACCTCTGAGGACAGTTTATCAGTCGGATTATTGGGAACAGGGACCCACTGACCATTACATTCAGTATCACTTTCACTTACTTCCAGAGAACGTTCATCTGTAATTTTTCTCACATTTTCCTCTGGGATAAAAATTGGTTGGACAGAGATTTTCTTATAGTAGTGAAAGGCACCCTCCTTGTTCACTTTCACACAAATGGCAAAATTCCCACTGGCACAACTGTCAACAGTAATCACCTTCCCCTTTTCTTCCCTCACAGGCTTGACATCTGAATTACTGAAAACTGATCCTACGAAAGCACTAGTCTGTGAAATATCCTTCATCAATTGCCTTGCCAAAACGGGAGGCTCCACTTGGGCTGGATCTAATTTACCTGGACTTATTCCATTGTCTTCCTTTATAGGCATGTTTGGATCATGTTGAATATTTGGTGGAGAATCAATAGGTTCAGGAGTATCCTCGTCCTGCTCCGCTTCCGAGACTGATGGGGCAACAGACAAGCCATTTCCCGATTCTACTAGGTCTACGGTTCTGGATGTGGTTGACACTTGCGCACTGAGAGGAGCCGTTCGCGACTGCGATCTGGAAGGATACAATAGCCACGAACTCTGCAACGCGTGAGAAGATGTAATATGGGATGAGACCTGCAAACAAGGTAGATCTGTTCGCGGTGATGCTGAAGCAGCTTGCGATGACGTCTGCGTACGCGAGGATGCTTGTGAACTAGGGAAACTGGTTGGCGAAGTCGATCCGTGAGGAGAAGAGACCTGCGAAGATCGCGATTCAGAAGGCCGATGTCGTGATCGAAGCTGTTCGCTCATCGCGGCAATGGATACCGCCATGTTTGCCGCCATGTTTGCCACCATGTTCTTCATTGCTGAACAGTGATCTCTCATGTCTGCTTTCATCTCCTCTATAATTCGTTCCATATTGTCAAAACTCTTCTCCATTCGGGGAGTCATATAGGCTTCCTCTATAGTTCCAGATTGTTGTTGCTCTGAGATGATCGATGACTCCGATTCTCTGCCTCCAGGAAGAGATTGCTCTGATACCATTGATAGATACACAGCAATTCGACAGTAAAGGAAAGTAGATTGATAGATACACAGCAATTCGACAGTAAAGGAAAGTAGAATTAAGATGGAATAGATGCTGAAAAGAGAACAGTACAATGAAGACACTTCGAGTGGTCTCCCGCACTCCCAAAGCCAAAGTCCCAAATCTAATTTCTGCCTAACCACCATCTTCTCCCCTTTCCCTTCTTATAATAAGGCTATTCTCAAGGGCTGGCCCAAAATCATAACATAAATGGCCCAACACCCTTATTTGTACACTATAACATTATTTATTATAATTCTATTATTCTTATTATTATAGGCTGTCCATGTCCCTATCATCTACATGTAGAGGTGTGTGGTAAAATCATTTGTTTTCCCTTAGCTGAAACATTTCAAGGGGCTTATAACATGTAAGAACATTAGGTTATTCGTATTGTGTTTTGTCATCATTCACAAATAAATGCATAATGACTTTGAAAAGGCACTACTAGGTAGTAAGAACTGTTATTACTTTGGAACACATTTAAATGTTAATGAAAAAAGTGCCAAGAGAAAATTTTTATGTTGATTTTACTGTTACAATACGAAGGAAGATTTAACTGTTCAATTTCTATATCAAAATAATACATCTTTTATATATTTCTTAGTCTTTATTCAATAGGTATATATAAATGAAATGAGTTTGAAAAAGTGTCTAAAATTTATTTATTGATTTGAACCCGATTTTTATTTATTTATATCCCCCCTTCTTTTTCTTTCCATACCCCCTAGAATTTTCTCCCTATTTCTTTTCCCTTACAATTCCTGGATTTAAATGGACCCTTAGCGTTTTCAATTTTATCGTTTTGAGACTAGCGCTACAATAATTTGCTGAAGTTGGTCAAACATATCTCACAGTTTTTTGTTTAACGTGTTCTCTGTATCTGCAGTTATGATCTGAAGAGTTCAATGGAAGAGAGAGAGGCAATTAGAACTCGGAAAAGGTATTTCATTCTAAAATATCTCATCCATATTTCATGTCCAATGGCTCATCCATTAATCAGATGTTTTTTATTCACTCCCTTTTGTTTTAATGTAATTCAAATTTTTACCCTTTCTACATCTCAACATACTGCAGAAAACAGTATGGAAACCTACGAAGAAAGTGTTTGCAGATGTCAACAAATGGGGATGATAATACTTTGAAGTTGAAGGAGAGTTCTAGAAATAACAATCAAAGTGATAATTCTAGTCAGGTTCTAAACCCTCTTCCCCATGAATGTGAGAATCCGAAAAGCAAAGATCCCACTACAACTGCATCCAGTCCAGTTCTTGGTGAGTCTGATGAGTCATCTATTACAACTGCAAATATTTCTGCTGATGAACATCCGTCAACCAATTCTGATTCCTCTGATGAGCCTGATGAAGAGCAGCAACCTTTCCTTTGCCGTAAAGATTTAGAAGAAACCAACACAGAGTCAACCGCTCTCACCAAGCCAGAAGGCAGCTTCAACAAAACAGAAGATTTTGCGACATGGCAACGTATAATACGCGTTGATGCTGTCCGGGCAAATGATGAATGGGTTAGCCATTCACCAACCCAGGCTGCAGTTTCTGAGATCAAGGCAAATCAATTGGCTGAGAGTGTAGCATTGAAGGACTATGATCATCTGGGGCCCTGCAGGACTTATCATGCGGCCCGTCTAGTCTCCATCCTCGAAGCCTACGCCCTCTATGACCCTGAGATTGGGTACTGCCAGGGGATGAGTGATTTGTTGTCTCCCATCATCTCGGTGATCGAGAAGGACGACGAGGCATTCTGGTGCTTCGTGGGCTTCATGCGGAAAGCACGTCACAACTTTCGCCTCGATGAGGTAATATTGAAGTGTGGTGTATTCATATAGAATGTTCTCTAATGTATTCTCTAGTGTGTTCAAGATTAGAGAATTCTATTCTACGCATGCTATGCTATTTTAAATCACCCCACTGAAATACACGACCACATTCAAAAACACCAACAAACACCTTAACTTTCTAACAGGTAGGGATCCGAAGACAGCTGAGCATCGTCTCGAAGATCATAAAGTGCAAGGACTCACATCTGTACAGACACCTGGAGCAGCTTCAGGCAGAGGATTGCTTCTTCGTGTACAGGATGGTGGTGGTACTTTTCAGGAGGGAGTTGAGTTTCGAGCAGAGTCTATGCCTGTGGGAGGTGATGTGGGCAGATCAGGCGGCAATTAGGGCCGGGATAGGAAAATCGGCTTGGGGACGTATGAGGCTTAGGGCGCCTCCGTCGGAAGATCTTCTTTTATATGCAATAGCGGCGTCGGTGCTGCAAAAGAGGAAATTGATCATAGAGAAGTATAGCAGCATGGATGAAATCATGAGGGAGTGCAATAGCATGGCCGGGAATTTGGACGTTTGGCGTCTTTTGGATGATGCCCATGACTTAGTTGTGACCCTGCACAACAAGATATAGGGAGGCATCCCCTTTTCCATGCTTGTGGAACAAAGCAGTTTTTTATATGTATACATGAGTTTTGAGTTGTATTGCCCAGCGACATTCAAGAGTTCTAATTTAAAGTAAGCTTTACGGTTGGTTGTCTGGTATCTTGTTAAATGTACTGTACTGTACCCTCATTTACTTTAAGTCTTTAACTGTTTTAATTTGAACTGTTTCCCTGCTTTATCATTACAAAACACAAAAACAAAACTTGCTTCTATGTTTTAAATTTAAGAGCTGTTTTCCCAGAAACTGGTTGCGTCTCTTCTACTATGAAACATGTTTTTCTTTTAAGATCTGTTTTCTTTGAAGTTAGAAAAGCAATAGAAGGCATATTAATTAAGGGTCTACTGACTTATGCTTTCCATCATTTGTAATAGAGCCAAAGATTCATTGTTTTTTGGCTTGAAAATATGATGGAAAACAGCAAAATGATCCACTAAACTGTCTGTGCTTCTTTGTTGTGAAGCATCAATCAGTCCATTCAATTTTGGACGCGATTTTCACTATGGGTCATCCGGAAACAGTCTCTCTTTGTTTTAGTGCATGGGTAAGACTGCGTACATCCGACCTCACCTTACCCCACCGTAGGTGGGAGCCTGTACGGCACTGGGGTAAATGAAAATCTACTGACTTATGCAAGTATTGTCGGTCTGGCTAGGGCATTTGTATGATTGAAGTCTTTGAGTTGCTTACACATTAAGGTTAACTCCCACGAGGTTGTCCCAAACTCTTTCGTGTGGATTTAACTACTGACGTGTTTTGATGAGTCGAGTCCATCAGCCTGAAGTTTGATTTAGAGTTCCGATGACTGTCGTGTTGTGGTGGCTAATGAAGTGGTCAAAGGAAGCATATTGTTTAGAGTGAACTAATCTTTTCAAGTGAACAAAATTTTCATCAAGTTAATGAAGCCGTGAAGGCCTATGTAGCACCGATACCGGTACGCGGAAACGGGTACGGGGATACGTCAAAACCAAAAAAAGTAGGATACTGATACGGGGTCATGTTTATAAATATTAAAAGTTATGGGGTGTATTTACAAATATTAAAAGTTATAGGGGTCTATTTATAAATATTAAAAGTAGATTTTTTTTGAATATATATATATACATACATATAATATCCTATGATGTCTACCCATTCATTGCATTGAAACATTTTCCTTTTTCAAGATACTTAGTAATAAATTCATAATATTTCTCATATACACTAGTGTATCTCGAAATATAAATGTAGTCAATAAGTCATTAATTTAAAATGAGAAATAAGTCAAACAACTACAATCTTGAAATTAAAAGTGCAAGTACCCAATTCGGAGTATGAGTTAATGACTTAATTCGGATATAGCCATATAGGCCCATTATTTGATTACCAAGTAAAATGTAGTTTTAGATTTTCATTTTTTTTTAGAATTTTATTAAGTAAATTTTGGGATTTTTTTTTAGAAAAAAGTTGATACGGGTATCCGCCAGGATACGAGTATCGGAAACTTTCAAAAAATTACAAAAAATGGAAACTTTTAAAAATTGCAGATACGGCCCGGGAACGTACGGTACGGGTATCCTAGAGTATCGGATACGGGAACGTATCGGATATGCCGATACGCTACCGTAGGGAAGTATCCGTGCTTCATAGGTGAAGGCCTATCAGCTTGGGCTATTTTGCAAAAGAAAACTGTGAACATACTAATGCAACTTTAAAGATTTTTATACGGAGTAATTCCCCCATCCCTCTTCGAATCCCTTTGCATTAAAGCATATACTCCAAAATGAAATAAAAACATGCTGCTGTATTAGCATCATTTGTAATAAATATGCTGAAATACATATTCTGCTGTATCCGAATTCATAAAATAACTAAAGTAACAAAAGTTTTTTGGCTGTGCTTTCTTATACAAAGTATAAATTGTTAATACATAAAAAATAAAAACACTCCTATTATGGATGTTTTTACTTGACTGTTTTCAGTTCCCAATCGGACTTCAGTAGCTATAAAATAGACATAGATTCGACATTTATCATATCAGACCATACTAGTTCAGACCAAATCAGACTTAGCAGACCAGATCAGCTACAAATAGTCAAGTAAAAACTAAAAACATCCTATTTCGTGACAAAACAAATATTCCATACCCCATAAGGCCCATATGCATTTATAGAAATTTCATTTACAATGCTCCGTATTACTTTTTGTGCCATTTTAGTTTAGGGAGTTTTTTAATATACTTGTATATCAGTATATGCATGAATTGAAAGAGTTATTTTAGTTTAGGGAGTTTTTTTCCTTTTTGTGCCATTTTAGGCAGTTTTACCAGTACCTGACTACGGCTTCCTTCACTCACCGTGACAAGCGCAATATAGGATTATAGTTTCATTTGAGCTCGGAGCAGCATAACTACATACAGTACTTGACTTGTCGCCATGTCTACATCCACAGACCACGTTGAATCAGAATCTGGATCGCCGGGAGCACCGCCGCCGACACTGAACAATGAGTTGGAGCCGGCTGCACCATCAGTCCCGGAACCGGATCCGGACGATCCAACTACTCAACCAACGGGATCTCCATTAGATAATGCGGAAGATCCGAAACCGCTTGAGGCGGAAGGCAATAGAATTCCTCCCGGTATAGTGGCACCAGCCAATTTGGAGCCTCCCGTTTTGTCGATCCAGTCGAATGGATCAGCCAATGGCTCCGAATTTAAGTCTAATGATTCTGAAGATAGTGCCGCCCAATCTAATGAAGCCGATAGCAATCAGAAACTTCGGAAAGATGAGGGTAGCCGAACTTTCACAATGAGAGAATTGTTAAATGAGTTGAGGAATGGTGGTGATGATTCCGAACCGCGCGAAGCTGACACTCCTTACAGGTTTTTAATTCATTCTCTGTCCCTCTATACAATTCGACTGCATCAACGCCCTAAAAGAATTCATCATGCCAACTTGATAGCCTTTTACTAGAACAAGGTTCACACTATTTGTTTTTAATTGTTTTGAGTTTCAACATGGAATGCTATCGAACCTTGTCTTCCCTATATGCATCTGAGATATTTTGACCCGGTTTAATGATTTGAAGTTTTAATACCTAACTGAAAAAGAAGAAAACAAGGCCTCTATATCTCTGTCAGCTTGATTTTGAAAGAAAATAAACTGCATCTCCTATTTAGCTATCTTCAACCATGGTTTGTCAAGTCATTCTGATCCAGCTTTAAGATGCATGATACATCTTCTTTTTTGGGGCATTTGATGTTAACATCTCCGCAGAAGCAGGCTAGGCCCTCACTTCTACAAGAGTTTTTTTGGACACTCTAACTATGAACCCACATTCACAATATACTTTTGTGGCCTCTTTCACTGTTTTGCATGCTACATGGAAGATAGGAAGAGAGTTAGACCCCTCATTGTCGACTAAAACCCATGGTTGCTCTCATGTTTTAAGCAATTATGAAGTGGCATACATTTAATGATCGATTGAACATATGAGTAAACTATACTGCTATTTCTACCTTATGTCTAAAGTCTTTTCATGTCTGGCATTTTTTTTTTCCTGATTTGCAGTCTTGTAACTTATAAAATCTCTTTGACGCTTTACAATATCGGGATGCGTATATTTCTTTGTTGCAAAACCAGAGGCTTATAACTTCAGTTACCTCTCATTTAAATCCCCTCCCCTCCCATCTCCCCCAAACTCCAGTCAGGAAAGCAATCGTACAGATCACACTGATGCTGCCTTGGAGCTGATCAACAATGTCACAGGTGCTGATGAAGAGGGCCGGTCTCGCCAACGTATCCTAACCTATGCTGCTCGGAGGTAAGCATCTCATCTGGCGTACAAATGATTTTTGCTGGTCATGGGTAAATAAATTCTAACTCTGTGAATGTATTATCTTTGGATGCATTTCAGACTTTCATTGGGCATCCTTTGGTTATTTCATTTCTGCTTTTCTTGTCTTTCTATTATTGCTCACTTAGTTGACTACTGCAGCAGTTTACTAAAATTTGAAATTTTGAATTACTGTAATGCCTGATACAAGAATTCATGAATACATGTTCTGACTTCGGTGCAGATATGCTAGTGCACTAGACCGAAACCCAGAAGATTATGATGCACTTTACAATTGGGCACTAGTTCTTCAGGTGTAGTTATAGTAGTTATTGTCATTTAGTATTTCTCTCTCATTTAGATGTTTATCCTTTTCCAGGACATTCTTAGTGGCCGTTTGGCTTATTAGAGATTATTTTTACCAAACACTATTTATTGGACGCGTCCAAAGATTTGATTAAAAATGAATAAAGTAGAATTGTTGGTGCTTTTTTTTGCTGAAGCTGTTAAAGTTGCTGAAGATGACCATTTTATCCCTTTTTATAAATTTGTAACCTATTCTATGAATAGAATGTATTGTAAACGCAATATTTCACAGCTCAACAAATTCAATGAATTCTGCTACAACTTCAGTAGATTCAATGACTTCATCCATTTTAAGCCTTATCACACGGGCTCTTATTCGTACCTTCACTGCTTTTGGTTTTCACTGTCAAAGCTGTGTTGATGTACATTTGAATTAGCTGGTCTATTTTTTTTTTTTGCAATTCCAATGTTCTTGCCTTGACATCTAAATGTATGGAGAAACATCTTATTGAAGATGTGAAGTGAAATTGTTCTTGTTTTTCCTTATTGAACTACTCCGTATTATTTACGCCTATATTCTATCTTGAAGCCCACATATTCAACTCCTTTGTTACTTGAATATAAGTTGCTGTCTGGCACATTTAATCCTGGATTATCTTATTCAACAATTGTTTTTATAGTATCAATGCCACCTTTTATTTTTCCTCCAGGAAAGTGCGGACAACGTTGATCCAGATTCCAGCTCACCTTCAAAAGATGCTTTGCTTGAAGAGGCTTGTAAAAAATATGAGGAGGCAACTCGACTTTGCCCTACACTCAATGATGTAAGGGAGTAGACCTTCATTTGGAGAGTCGTTGCTTCTATACTTCTGTTTGACAACTACTAAGTCATAAACTTCTGGAATATCACATTACTGCTTTAAAGTTGAGCTTTAACCATAGTGTTTATCTAAAATATGTTCACTGAGAAAGCAGGCATATTACAATTGGGCTATTGCAATCTCTGATAGAGCAAAAATGCGGGGTCGAACAAAAGAAGCAGAAGAATTTTGGAAACAGGTTAAATATGTTTATGCCGTATTCTTTAGTTGTTTGTCAAATATTTCCTCCTATCTC